CACGCATACTAACATTTAAGTTGGGGTTGCGTCTTCTTTTGTTGGGGGACGCAGGGTGCATGGCGTACCCCTCCCTAAACCAAAAATATTCCCCCATGCAGACCCCTCTCCCCCACCCCTGACAGGCTGTAGCACCACTGCATTGTCTGAAGGGCCAAGACAGGTCGCTTGTTGCTTGCCTTCTGTCTGTGTGCACAGGGCGCTCAACAATGGCTGCCTTTTAAATGAGGCAGACAACTGAAAGAAAAAAGACGCCGTCCCTCCTGCCTGCTTTTCTCACCTTTTATCTGCTCAGCCCTTGTACTTTTTTTTCCCTTTTTCCTTTCTCTTTCATGTAGGACTTAATGCTCCTTTCATTCCCTCAAATTCTTTACATCTTAACTGCTGGCTGCAGTTGAATTTCCAGCACTTTTTGGACTCTTCATGAGTGGACATTTTCTTTCACCAAATTGTGGCGAATATGAAAATGTTCATATTTAGGTATATTAATGTTAATATACATACATAAGTATACAAACGTAAGTATTATTGCATATGTATTATGTTTATATTTATTGATTAATAAGACAACGCAATTATATAATATACTCACGGTAACCTGTTTTATTCAGACAGGAAGAAGAAATGAGCTGTGGGCTTTTAGGTTTCTACATTTTTTAGTCTATTTCTGTATTATTGTCAATATCAATTTGAGTTTATTTTCATATCATTTCTATTTTTATTAATATGTTTAACCTTCGTGTTCTGTTGAAATTTTAAGTTTGAATGTCCCAGAGACCCATATCGTGTAACAATTATAATAGCAATTTTTAAATGAACCTCATTTCCCATTCAAATTACTTTAATATGTTAATCAACACCTACACTCTTAAAAAATAGAGAGGGTTTTCACAGCAATGCCATAGAAGAACCATTTTGGGTTTCTAAACACTGTTTCAGTGAAGAGTTTTTAATAGAACCTTTTTTTTTGTGAACAACATTTTAATAATCTGAAGAACCTTTCGTAGAATGAAAAGGTTCCATGGACGTTAAAGGTTCTTCATCTGTTTCTTCAGGACAGAATGATTGGTATTCATTCATAAAAAATTTTTTTTAAATAAAATAAATACATAAAGTAAAAACAGGAATCTCTGCATGTGTTCGCCTATCAGAGTATACATTTTCTCTGGGGGTCTCTGAGAGCCTAAATATAATTAATGTAACACAAAAGGGTTATCAAATTTGTTTATAATTAATTGTGTTTATAATAATTTCTCTTAAGATTAGGAAGTGTCATTAAGAATATACCTGACACTTTATAATCTCCTCAAATCCACGCCGAACAGGAGGGTTAATGACATTCAGTAAATGCACTAACTTCACAGAGCACAGCATCTGCTCCGGCTCCTCTTCGAACGCCAGCAAACAGAAAGGCCTCTTCCTGTCTGTGCTTCTCTAATGTACATTATATTTGGAGCTGGTCACAGAGTATGGCGAGGCACTCGGCAGCTATCTGCGTGGGCAGAATCAGTCATACCTCAGTGCAACGGCTGCCCTATTGATGCCATGTGTGCCGCTCTCCCCCAGAATGCTGCCTGGCATGCGGCTCCCGCTAACTTCTGCGGTGGAGCTACATATAGAAGCCCAAGCTGGTAACACACTCATCACATCGAGCCCACTACCCTTCGGCACAGCCAAATGTTTCCACAGCTGCCCCTTTGTCTCTGCTCCTTGAGTAAACAAAGGACAGATACAAATTAATGACCTAAATTCATAGTAAAAAAGCAAAGAGAGAAAACCATTATGCTCCAACTGTCCGTTCCAACCAGATGTTAGATGCAGATTTGTATGTGAATGTCACAAATCAAATCTCAGCTCTCGAGAAAATCAGCGAAAGAGTGCACAATATTGTTGAGAAATACAAAACAATAAGGCGCTTTTCAGACTTCCTCAATAATACAAGCGGAAATGGATCTTAAGTCCAAAACGAGTTTGAAAACGAAATCTCAAACCAATTAGAAGGAGGTGCCGTGTGTGTGTGTGGAAGGGGGGCAGGCTTACAGCACGGTACCATCTGTGGCAGTGGCCTGTTGAGTAACGCTCGAAGTGGTCAGCCTTTAGTGCATCTGTAGGCCAGGTTTGTCGAACAGCGAGACATTAGATAAAGCTGATTTGTTTGCTGGAAAACTGTACTTGAGGAGCTTTGGAAGCAGCCTGTGTGTGTGTGTGTGTGTGTGTGTGATCTGTGATGCAGGGGGAGGGGTTGGTCTTCGTACAAGCTGCTGCACATTTTCCCAGGTCCAACCCACGCCTTTACTGGAGCACCAGCCAGACATTAAAGCAGCATATACACATGAGCCATGTAAGCCCGCGTACACTCACGCTCACGCACACACACACATCCGGACAGTATACTCACGCACTGGAAAACATGTTTCCACCCACACGAGCATCTACAGTAAATAAGATTATTGAACTGAATGCAAAAAACACAAACACCATCTCACCAATCTGCACATCGTCATTACTCTGGCAAATCCCGCCAGAAGTTTCTGACAGAAAAATGGCACGGAGAGGTTAAGGTTCTTATAATTTATTGCAGTTTGCACACAATTTAAAAATTTCACCAACAGCACACCAAAAGTACAAAACTAAACAGCCTCATAATTTACTTCCCTTGAGAAAATGAAACATACTATGATTGTCAAAGCTAAATGTCTAAATCCATAAAAAGAACAATGTCAACATAGCAAAAAATCTCAGAAGGGAAGCAATTACATGTGAAGTTGAATCTTCTTTTTTTCCCCATCCAGACAGCGATTGTCCTTGAATTCAACAGATATTTATTATTTTCTTTCCCATACTCATTAGCCACCAAGTTTGAATTTGACAGAGTTGTTCTTCACACTGGGGTTCCTGGGTTTCAAGTAAACTAAAGGGGTGTCTAATTTATGGATATGCTTCATAGGCCATTTCACAGCTTCATTTCCATTGGAAAAAAAAAAAAAAAAAAGTCCAAGAAAGACATCCAGTATTCCAGCGAGTTTCCAGTTTTCACCCTCTGAGTATAATATGATAACAGTAGTTTAAGGCGGTCAAGTACAATAGAAGCCAACAAAAAACATAAAGAAAAAGAAAGCATAGAAAACAAATCAACCCCATAGTTGATTTTTTTTTTTTCTGTCACAGACATTTTAGAGTGCAAAAGGTAAAAGTACCACCGTGCAAAACGCTTGAGGAGCGTGCGCTGTTGGCAAAGCTCAACCTTTTCACTAGCCGTTGCACCAGCCAAATATATGGTAGGACAGTTCCTGAGGCCTGCGTAGGCCCGTGTGCCGCACACTCCTGTCCTGCTCCAAACATGTGCGGAGCCCCCGGCCCTATCTAACTAAAGTAGTTCAAGCATTTCAGCACTATGTGAGTGACTGATCTACGTCTACAGCGCTAAGCCATATGTTTTTCATTTTTCTTTGCTTTTTATTTCTCTTGATTTGACAATGAAATTGTTTTTTTGTGAAACAAACCAACAAACAAAATGAACAGAATTTTCACACTGTTAATAAAAGAAATCTTAGCAAATTAAAAGAAAAAATAAAACATTTTCAAAATAAACATTTTTCGAAATCACAAATGCTGCAAAAAGTTAACAATCACAAATTTATAGATGTTTTTTCAGTGTAACAAAGTCCATTCGATTAGGTTATAATTAAGCGTATACATTTCATAAAGGCCTCTTTTGCACATCATTCTAATTTCATTAAGCTTCAAAGGTGCAACCAACCTTGCCAAACACGTTCTAATGACAAACAAAAAAAAGACTTGTGTATTGAACACAAACACACGCACACAAACCACTCAGATCAGAGTGTGTCGAGCTTTATGCTGTTTAAAGATCCTTCAGCTTCTCCAAATAGATGTGCGCTGCTGAGGACACCCATAAAGAAGAGCTGTACCATCAGCCACGCAAATGTGTCTTCATGGCAATCGAATCTGAAGCAAGTGCCAATTGAAAAGATAAATAAATAAATTACAAACAGAGCCGACATGATTCAAATGACAACAGCCAGTAAACAGGACACTGAGACAAACAGCAGTTGAGGACCCAGCACTGGGAAGAGCAGTTCGCAAGGAGATGCTAGCAGGAGCCACACTAGCCTTCTGAACAATAAATGTAGCGATCCAGCCTCTGCTGACACCTGGCCCCTCGTTAACACCCGAATCCTACAGCGAGCCCGAACCGAATCGCGTCGCGTGTGTAGATACTGCAGCCTAACGTCAGTGCATTTCCACAATCTTCACAGCCCAGAAAAAAACACCTCACCAGAACCCCCAATTCATTCTCTAATAAGAGGAAAAACTCAAATCTACCAAGGAATCAAATGAGTTAATTAAAAAATACACTCTCTGATGCAAAACAACAATGAAAAAGAGTAAGTTAAATAAAATTCATGCAATTTCTACAGCGGTAATATTAAAGGTACTTTTTTTCTCTCAACAGACAGGTGCCCTGACTGTAATGAATCAGTCAATTACAGTGCACAGCAATACAGCAAGTCACATCTTTTTCAATATACAGGTCAGACATCATGCAACAACAGATTCCGTTTTAAAAATGAAAAATCTTAATAAAACACTACAGAAATCTCTAGAAATGCAGCTGATGTAAAAACCAACCTCAGTAGCAAACGAGTGATGTAGAGAGACCGCAACTAAAATGCGAAAATGACTTCAAATCATATTAAGAAAGATAAAAAGTAAATGCGGCAACTGATATGAAAAAAGGAGGCTGTACATTGCATGAGTGCCTTGTTTGTCTTCCATCAGTCAAGTTTCCTATAACGAGTCAAAAATGTACAAGAGCTTAAGTAACGCGAGCTTAGAGCTTCCTCATGGGATTTAAAGGACTGACCTGCTCACACACTACATGTGTACATGTGCGTATGCGCATGAATACACATGCACGCACGGCCACAGTCACACATCAGGTATGTTATCTGCAAATTATAGTAGTGCACTAAGGAAATCAGTAGTAACATTTTCATGTGCTAGTAAAGTGCAATTCAACAAGATTTGCAATGTACATACAAGAAAAATGACTGATTCAGACCCTTCGGCCGTCACTCCGCCCCACTCTTACCTTCACCACTCTGCCCCAACAAAATGCCACTCAGATCTCTCTCATTAATTTAACAAGCAGTTCAAACAGTCTGCTATCAGTTTAGCTTTCATTTCCACAGTTCTTGAGAGCTATCTTCCAGTGCCCAGTCTCTGACCGTGGGTAGATTGAGCGACTCGCTCTTGACCGAGAGCGAGTTCACCAGTTCGCAGTGGAACTTGCGGATGTGTCGGTACAAGTCCCCTGACTGCGTGAAGCGCCGCTCGCACCACTTGCAGGCGTGCGGCTTCTCACGCGTGTGCACGACGGCGTGTCGGCTTAGGTTGTGTGAGTACTGGAAGCTCTTGCCGCAAGTAGTGCATGTGTAGGGCTTCTCGCCCGAGTGCGTCCGCTCGTGACGCTTTAACGTGTACATGCAGGAGAAGGTTTTGCCACAGATGGAGCAGGTGGGGACATTGACGTCGCCGGCCGGCTTGGACCGTACACCTTCCTGCTCGCGGAAATGCGTGCTGAGGTGGATCTGCAGGATGTGTGGGCTGGGGAAGACCTTGTTGCATAAGGGGCACATGAAGATCTGAGTATGTGGAGCCCCCAGCATGCTGGAGACGTAAGGCAACAGGGAGTTCTCGACCCCCGCAGCCTCGTGTGCTCGCTCGCTGTCCCCTCCTAAGACGTCTGCATCGTCGTCGCCTCCTTTGTCTTCCCGCTCCAGCTCGCTGGCCAGCGAGGCCTCACGCAGGGCCGAGAGGTGAGCCTCCAGGCCCAAGCGCCGTTGCGCCACGAGGCTGATGTGAGTCCCGTTGGTGCTGGGTGGCTCCTTGACACCGCTGTGCTCCATCTCGTAGTCGCCGCTCACCAGCTCGTCATCGTCCGAGCCCGTGTCCTTTTCCACCTTGACCTGAACCAGGGCACTCTGGAGGCTGTCTGGGGTCACAGAGCTGCAGAAATAAGGGTTGCCAGCCATGGTCTCCCCAGGACCTCCGCCCAGACCGGACTTCACAGAGAGGTCAAGCACACAATCGGTGTCAGCGGAGACTCTCCGAGACACAGCCGAGCGACGGGACAGGGAGCCTGTGGAGCTGCTGGGGCTGCCGGCAGGAGATTTGCCAGCGTCGGGGCCGTGTGTTTCCGCCTCCCTGGGGCTAGTGGTGGGAGACGTGGTCCGGTCGGAAGGCAGACGCATCCACATGCTCCCCGGCTCCTGAAGGCTGTCCCGCTTGTTCGCCATGTCCTCGTCGTCACTCTGCAGCAGGTCGGCGGTGGTCGGCCGGCCCGTGCTTCCACCTTCCGAGAAGCTCTCCACCTTGTCCGAGCAGCTGGAAGCATCCTCCTCCCGCTTGGTGCTGTCGGCCTCGGCCGTGGCCTTCTGCTTGAGCTTCTTCTTACACACTTTGACGATGTCGTACATGTGGAGGTAGCTGGCAGCAGCCAGCACATCCTCCACTGGAAGCGATTTGAACTGGAGCTTTCCTTCGTACATGAACTCAAGCAGGAGAGCGAAGGCCGGGGCCGTGACAATGTCGCTGTTCAGATGAACAATGTCCCTTTTGTCTAGCTGGTCCTTGTAAAAGAGGTGGAAGTACATGCTGCATGAAGCCAGCACTGCACGATGGGCTCGGAACTGGGCATCACCGACAAGCACAGTGGAGTCACAAAGGAACCCCTGATGCCTCTGCTCGCTCAGACACTGTAGCAAATGTCTGCTGTGGTCTGGAAACTCCATGCTGTCTTCATAACCTGCAAAAGACCACAGATGTTAGTGAGACTCGCTAGAACAACAATTGTTTTGTCTGCAGCTCTGTGTGGAACTTCTCTCTTTTCCCACCCGCTCTGTCCCCTCTCTCTCTCTCTCGCTCCATACACACATACATACTCTCACACTCTAATTCTCTCTCCCTCCCTCCCTCCACCCCTGTGGGAACACTGGAAAAATGTTCACCACAGTCCTGACATAAAAGGATTACTAAAAAGCACATGCAAAAAGTATAACATCACAGATTATATATTAGGCTAATTGCATTTTCCTCGCTTGGGCACTTTAAAGTACACAGTAGTGCGTTTAATATTACATTGTACACTAACCCTTTTAATTAAAAGTTTAAAAGCACGAGACCAGGGAAATTAACGCAAAAATGTAAATAAAAAATATCCCAATTGTAAATAAAATTTAAAGCAATACTGCCGTACATATCCCATCAGTACCATTCGGTTATAATCAGATGGCGTGATGTAAGGAGCTGAAGTCCTGATTCCACAGATGCCTGCGTGAGAGAATCTTTCCTGTTTTTTCTCACTGTGCTCCTGGAGGAGTTATTTATAATAACCCACTTTGGCCAGGACACCAAGTATAGGTAACAGGCTTACAGGTACACAAACAGCTCACCATCATGGGCACACTGCATAAGTATACTAAGTACCATGATCTCTGAAGTTACGACAACTGAGGTAGCAGAACATCAGCATGACGTGCGTAATCAAAGACGGACAATCTGCAAATAAAATACGCACTAAAATATATATATTATCTTTACAAAATACACATAAACAATTTACAAACTAAAAAAAGTTGAAAGTAAAATAAACACAAAAAATTATGAAATCACACCTGTTACCCGCGAAGATCGTTCCCGTCTAAAAAAATGCACCGGCGTCATGTTCAAGCAGCGGACTTAAATTAACTCATTTGAATCTTCATTTAAATCTGATTGGGATAGCAAGCCAAAGCCCCCCACCCTACCCCAAACAGCGTTCAGACCTTCATTAATGAGGGGCTTATAGGGGGACAGGGGGATAACAAACCTCTCACCAGCCCTCTCCTCCCCCTTTTCCCCTCCCCAAATCTTTGGAGGAATGGAACATCCTCCCCAAAGAGGCGGTCCACAGCAGATTTACAATACAATCACTTTAAGTGCCCCGTAGTCCACATCAATCCTAATCCTTAAAATGGCTAAAAATAAAGATTGCAGGACAGCTCACAAGGTAGCAGCGATCAAATTAGGAGACTGGGAGGACAGAGAGGGACGGAGAAGGAGGCTTATGAACATCTGATCCAGCTGACTGAGACCATATGGCAGCTGCTGCCCAGATAAAGAGATTAAGACTAGGAGGAGTGCGATTACAGCTGTCTAGCCAATTCAGGCAGCTCAAATCTGCAAGTTCTAAATTAGTCCTTACAAACAAGGAAAAAAGGAAAGAGTTGAGCAAAAGCCTGACGAAGGGACGTTTTGAAGAACGCGCGATTATATAAAGTTGCATATTTATTTCGCTAAAAGCATTTCTGCATTTTTGGTCGATTTAGAAGATCTCGTTACTTAAAGAAAAAACAGGTTTTATAAACGCATAAGAGTTTCTAGTTTTAAATCTGTAATACTATAATGAACTACCCTACCAACGCCACTCTATACTGTCACAACAGAGCAACAATTTGTCATTGAGAACGAAGTAACCGAATAGAAGACCTGCAAACAAACAGAATAATCAAACGCTTGCCTGGAAACCTCTTCATGGCAACAAAAAGTGTCACTTGTCCCCCAGCCTGGTTACACTACACCAGCTCGAAATCCTTTACTTCCCATTTCACACACTCTGATGGCTGATGGCAGACACGCAAAAAGACTTAATGAGAGCTCCCTATTCAAAACACATCCCTGTTGCCCGGACCCCCCAGTACAGTACCTGCAGTACGCATCAACTTGATTAAGTCCACTGTTGTGGTAGCGCCGGCTGTAACTCCCTTCGCCGAATCAATGAAAGGGTAGAGACGTGAGAGAAAGAGAGAGAAAATCAAACTGTGAGGGACAGATGCAAAGTGGAGGAGATGTTGAAGGGGAATGCGATGCCTCCTCCTGCACACAGATCCGCACACACACTAACTCCCAGTCTGTGCGTTAGAAGAAAAGACTGGGGGATGGCAGTCTGTCAGCTGCTCTGACATCATGTTCAGATGGAAATGCTACCTCCAGCTGTGCTCCTTTTAGTGCCATATGCTACTCCTCTACACTCTTGCCACCAGCCTCTCCTTTATACAACTTTGTTTCTCTTTCCCCCCTTTAAAATACGGGAGGAAGGGAAGTGTTGTGAGGTGCTTCTGTAGAAAACTTGCCAATTCCCCCCTTTAGTTGTAATCTCTCAGCAAAGAAGAACTTGGAAATGGGTCCGTCTGAAAGCCAACACTTTTTTTCTAACCTAGTTTCCTGCACTGAGAATTTAAATACCCTCAAGTTTTTACCCCCCCTCTCCTTCCAGTAACCATAAACAAAGGCCAGCACAGCACATTTGCAACTGACAGATCCACGCAGCTGATATTGTTTTCGACTTCTTTATGGTTCACTGGCCGCGCCATTACCGTCATTCATTTTACTAACCCTTTGGACAGAGGAGGGAGAGAAAAATAAAAGAAATAAGAAACAATGGGAACAATCATACAGGCCTTATAAGTACGGTTCAAACAAAAGCCACTGTATTCCGCATTAGGGCTTACAAACCTCATTACTTCTTAAGTATCCAACTCATATTTCTGTTCATTTTCAGAAACTTCTTCAGTGCGAGTCAAACAGTTTCCTGTTTACCACCAAATTCAGCAAAACAAAGATACTCAAATATAATCTGAAGGTCTCTCCTGAAAGATGTCACACTCATGACAGAATATTTAGTTTTTTTTTAACTCATTGATATCCATGCATATTTTTAAATGCATAAAAAGCCACAAGAATGAAGAGTTTGCCGCATCGGTCACATGCATTACACTTGGTCTCAGGGGTTTTTAAGCTAATAAGAGCTTTTCATTCAATATGTACTTGAACGATTAGGCTTGCTTATTACGTGTTTTGGTTTACAAAGCAATTGGTTAACATGAAGGTAAAAGTAAAAAACTAAGCCCACGCTAGCGCATTGTTTTATACCGTGACATGTCAAAGTGAACTTGTTTTCAAACCTGGGAAGACGTCGTCCAGAAAGACTTATCCAAATGGTGCCAAGTTAGCACCTTCTTCAACTTAAAAGCTACGATACAAAACAAACAGACATAAAATAAAACAAACTACGAGTCCACCTAGGTAGGAAATGGTATTATAGCAGGTTCAAGCAGCGGACTTAAATTAACTCATTTGAATCTTCATTTAAATCTGATTGGGATAGCAAGCCAAAGCCCCCCACCCTACCCCAAACAGCGTTCAGACCTTCATTAATGAGGGGCTTATAGGGGGACAGGGGGATAACAAACCTCTCACCAGCCCTCTCCTCCCCCTTTTCCCCTCCCCAAATCTTTGGAGGAATGGAACATCCTCCCCAAAGAGGCGGTCCACAGTAGATTTACAATACAATCACTTTAAGTGCCCCGTAGTCCACATCAATCCTAATCCTTAAAATGGCTAAAAATAAAGATTGCAGGACAGCTCACAAGGTAGCAGCGATCAAATTAGGAGACTGGGAGGACAGAGAGGGACGGAGAAGGAGGCTTATGAACATCTGATCCAGCTGACTGAGACCATATGGCAGCTGCTGCCCAGATAAAGAGATTAAGACTAGGAGGAGTGCGATTACAGCTGTCTAGCCAATTCAGGCAGCTCAAATCTGCAAGTTCTAAATTAGTCCTTACAAACAAGAAAAAAAGGAAAGAGTTGAGCAAAAGCCTGATGAAGGGATGTTTTGAAGAATGCATGTTTATATAAAGTTGCAGATTTATTTGGCCAAAAGCATTTCTACATTTTCGGTCTCTTTAGAAGATTAGGAATTTGGTTTAAATGGACTGAAAATCTTGTTACTTAAAAGAAAAACAGATTTTAACAGATTAACAGCACATAAACACAAGAGTTTCTAGTTTTAAATCTACAATACTATAACAAACTACCCTACCAACGCCACTCTATACTGTCACAACAGAGCAACAATTTGTCATTGAGAACGAAGTAACCGAATAGAAGACCTGCAAACAAACAGAATAATGAAACGATTGCCTGGAAACCTCTTCATGGCAACAAAAAGTGTCACTTGTCCCCCAGCCTGGTTACACTACACCAGCTCGAAATCCTTTACTTCCCATTTCACACACTCTGATGGCTGATGGCAGACACGCAAAAAGACTTAATGAGAGCTCCCTATTCAAAACACATCCCTGTTGCCCGGACCCCCCAGTACAGTACCTGCAGTACGCATCAACTTGATTAAGTCCACTGTTGTGGTAGCGCCGGCTGTAACTCCCTTCGCCGAATCAATGAAAGGGTAGAGACGTGAGAGAAAGAGAGAGAAAATCAAACTGTGAGGGACAGATGCAAAGTGGAGGAGATGTTGAAGGGGAATGCGATGCCTCCTCCTGCACACAGATCCGCACACACACTAACTCCCAGTCTGTGCGTTAGAAGAAAAGACTGGGGGATGGCAGCCTGTCAGCTGCTCTGACATCATGTTCAGATGGAAATGCTACCTCCAGCTGTGCTCCTTTTAGTGCCATATGCTACTCCTCTACACTCTTGCCACCAGCCTCTCCTTTATACAACTTTGTTTCTCTTTCCCCCCTTTAAAATACGGGAGGAAGGGAAGTGTTGTGAGGTGCTTCTGTAGAAAACTTGCCAATTCCCCCCTTTAGTTGTAATCTCTCAGCAAAGAAGAACTTGGAAATGGGTCCGTCTGAAAGCCAACACTTTTTTTCTAACCTAGTTTCCTGCACTGAGAATTTAAATACCCTCAAGTTTTTACCCCCCCTCTCCTTCCAGTAACCATAAACAAAGGCCAGCACAGCACATTTGCAACTGACAGATCCACGCAGCTGATATTGTTTTCGACTTCTTTATGGTTCACTGGCCGCGCCATTACCGTCATTCATTTTACTAACCCTTTGGACAGAGGAGGGAGAGAAAAATAAAAGAAATAAGAAACAATGGGAACAATCATACAGGCCTTATAAGTACGGTTCAAACAAAAGCCACTGTATTCCGCATTAGGGCTTACAAACCTCATTACTTCTTAAGTATCCAACTCATATTTCTGTTCATTTTCAGAAACTTCTTCAGTGCGAGTCAAACAGTTTCCTGTTTACCACCAAATTCAGCAAAACAAAGATACTCAAATATAATCTGAAGGTCTCTCCTGAAAGATGTCACACTCATGACAGAATATTTAGTTTTTTTTTAACTCATTGATATCCATGCATATTTTTAAATGCATAAAAAGCCACAAGAATGAAGAGTTTGCCGCATCGGTCACATGCATTACACTTGGTCTCAGGGGTTTTTAAGCTAATAAGAGCTTTTCATTCAATATGTACTTGAACGATTAGGCTTGCTTATTACGTGTTTTGGTTTACAAAGCAATTGGTTAACATGAAGGTAAAAGTAAAAAACTAAGCCCACGCTAGCGCATTGTTTTATACCGTGACATGTCAAAGTGAACCAAACCTGAAACCTGGGAAGACGTCGTCCAGAAAGACTTATCCAAATGGTGCCAAGTTAGCACCTTCTAAAAGCTACGAGCTACGATACAAAACAAACAGACATAAAATAAAACAAACTACGAGTCCACCTAGGTAGGAAATGGTATTATAGCAGGCTACTCCTACACACACACACACACACACACACACACACACACACAGAGCACTGCCGACGGTCTTTATCTAGATCCTGACCCCGTACGTTCAGGAAAAGCTAGCTTGCGTGGCTAACAAATAAAAAGTAAGCGTTCAACCTGCAGTGTTACAGTTTCGCGACAGGCCCCGATGCCACGCGCTCGAGCAACTCATTCTGCGCGTAAAGACCAACAGTCGCGTGAAAAAGATCGTTACTTTTCTCCATAACAATCCAGCCCGTGCCTCCAACCCCCCTTTCGTCTCCTTAAAGAGCACCTCGTATCACAGGCACTTACAGACAACCAGGTCCAGCGTCTTCCTGCTTCCTCCGTCTAATCCTCTCAGCGAGAAAAACAACTCGATTGACTTTCAACAGCTTTCCATAACAACCTGCGGTGGCAGGAAAGACGGAGCAGGCGAGCGGAGCGACGAGAGCTGCGGCAGCCAGATGTTTCCGAGCTGTTGCTACTCAACTCTCCTGTAAAGAGGAAGCGCTTGACTGGCAGCGCGCAAGCCAATGGAAGAGGCGAAAAGAAAAGCGAAGGCAAATTGGAAGCTGCCGCTGAGGGGGGAAGAGGGAGGGATGTCTCTTTCTCGGCGTAGGTTGACACCAGGCAACAGTGAGAAAGCAGAAAAAAAGGCCGAGCGAGCGAGCGAGCGGGTTCCTCTGGCGCAGCGCGCGGATCGAGGGACATTGCGCAATGTTACGTGGGTACTGTAGTCACGGACCGAGCAGCGGCGAAGAACAGGTGCGCTGCGGAGAGATAGGGGCACGGGCACAACGAGACGGCCGCTTAAACCTATTCCAAATGAGGAACAGAGGCGCGAGTGTCTGATGTAACTCTAGAATTATTACTACAAAATAAAACGAAAAGAAACCGTCTAAAGTGAAACATTACATTTGAGAAGGGCTTATAATGTACCAATATTTAGCGTACAAAATGGGTCTATAAGCGGATGAAAAAAATACTTGGGTTATTGTAATTAGTTATTTTGTTATTATTCTTGATTATTATTATCATCATCATCATCACCTGAAATGTTACCAAGTTGTTTCCTTTTAGTGGCAGCTTGAATTGGGAGATTATTAATAGTCATTCAAATTTCATACGCGGGCAAACGACATTAATGCACTATTGAAGTTAAAAGAGTACATTGGCCTATTCTAAAATCTATTTTATTATTGAATTAAATTCATTTGGGCTAAGTTTTAATGCAATGTACCGCAGTGTATATGGTTACTGAAATGTTACCACTGTAATATTTTAGGCTATAGCCTACACTACAATTACAAAAAATCTTTTTCTTTGGAAAAATAAATATATCAATATTTTATAAATATATATAGATAAATAATTAAATGAAATTAGATAAAGAAATATAATTAATATAGCCTAATATAATGAATCTAATATAATAAATGCAATCAAATGAATTAATGGATGGAGCATTTGATGAATAATGACCCTAAATAAAAACATTGGCAGCAGGATTTTATAAAGTGTAAAGAAAATACAATCATCTATCATAAGCAATGTGCTGAAGGCTAGATTCCTGTGCTTACATGCCATATATACAGTTTGTGTGTGAGATCGCGGCGTCAACAGGTGAACGTTTGCAATGCTAAGTATGTGCAATGGTCCACAGATGCGCTAAGTTCACTCCGTACGGAGCTTGTGAACACAGTCATGTGTTTGGCAATTTGGCTGCTGAACGCACCCGCCCATCAGCATCCACGCTCCCACACTCATGCGTCCCAGTAAACTAATTGGCGTTACTAATACATTTCAAAACAAATCACTGTCCTACTGGTACCGGAATCTTGACATAATAACATTATAATTTAATGCAAATAATGGCCTCATTAAGCTGATGTGGCAAATGAGTCCAGGCATGTGATGTGTTGGTGTTTTCCATGTCGTCACCCAACAATACTCCTTCTGTACAAGAGTTATCATTCACAACAGGTCACATCAATTATAATGAAATATAAATCAAATCGAATGTTATGTTTCCAAGTTTTCATGACTTAGGGTTGTATAATTATAAAACACAAGTTTAATTTAATTTGAATGCACAGATATTTTATGCAGTCTTTAGGCAATATACTAATATTTCAATAATATTATAATAATATTTCACTCTTTATTAAGCAGTAATACACAATCCCCAAACTGTTTTCATGCAAAAACTGAAGTCAAAGATGTGAGGCCTCGCTTCTGTGCAATTAAGAGCAGTTTTCTGAAGAGCGATAGAGGACTAGTAAAAGGTGTTTTATTTTATTGTTACAGTATAGAAATAATATTGACTTGGATTTATTAACTGATAGCTGTTATAAGTGTGTATTCTACAGTAGCTATAATATATTCACATTAATATAATTAATTATATTTGGCATGCAATTACATATTACAACTGCCTTCAGAAAGATAAGGGTTATGCTGTTCAGCAGTATGAATTTGCAAGAGGTCTTTTAGGTGATTTTGTATTCTTATGCTT